CGATAGATAAATTTATATGGATATACTTTGTTATTATGAGTATTCAACTGATTCAGCTCAGTATGATGTTTTCATTTCCATTAACATTATAAGTTATTTTGGATGTGAAGAACTATTGTTATTGACGAATATGTTTTTCTATTTCACATGTTTATGGAGTCATTTGATATTAACAGGTTCTGAAGCCATTTGGGCATGGGTTTCATAATGATTGATTGAATTTTACGGCTAATCCTCCATATGTTCGTGTTTCCGCACAAACATGTTAAGGGATAGCTGCAACCGGATGTAGCATGATCGCTCGTGCATTGTATAGGCGTATGCAAAATCATGAGCTAAGTCGTTTTTTGTTCGTTGCGCAACATGCTTTTTCGATGGCTGCTTTTGCTCCTCACCTTAAAATCAAACTATTTGATTCAACCTCGAATGTCGGAAAAATGTACACACACTTATTCTCAGCTAAATTACTGAGAGGTTTTGTATTGGCTGACATAGCACAAATGTTAAACGTTGATGGATAAACATTTGAACTCAATTTTTCAGTTGAGCCTATTCTGCACATCTATCTGTAGCACAAATCTCTACTTATGTACAAATCTGTAGCACGCTCGAATATATCCTTGTATTCTTCGAGACATTTTATGGTTTAGGCTAAGGCGACCATTTTCTACTCTTCCCTTACTACTTTTAGTTATCCTTTATTGACAATTATCAACTCATGCGTAGTAAAACCTTCATTCAGTTGACTTTCTCAAGTGTAAATAGGTAACAAGATTTTATGAATAAAACTTCGAAAAGACATCACATTTCTCTGATCAGTTCAGTCTTCTCATTGTTTCATCGAAATTGATGCAAGGAACTAATTGTTTCATAATTTGAAAATATTCACTTTCCATGATCAATCACTCAAACAAAACTGTATTTCCAGCGTTTCAAAATGATTAATGTATTACTATTGTCAAAGTACAGTGTATAATGTTCGCATAACCTTAACCTGTACAAGATGTGTTATTAGTGTTAAAGTTTATTCTTAAAGAAACTTAATAATAAGTGATTTTGTTATGTGGAGATGGCATGACAAACTTATTTTGTAAATAGTTTTTGACGCTATTTGTATAGCAACAACCTATATGTACCATTGGTATTTTTTATTGTGTGGTTTGTATTAGCTTATACGACTGAGCATTGCTTACGCCTACGCACTTACTCATAATTCTCGCTTTAACGTTAATCTCTTAATCCCCCTATGAACTTACATGACATGTCTGGCTGACCTTTGACCTTGTCAGTCATTCGTCGTTTTTGTTCATGTCTGTGCATGCCTATTTTGTTTGTCATATGTCTGTCTTATTTTTGTCTGACTATATATTCTTAGTCATACTCTATCTCTTTGAGTTGGCTCTTAACCTTCTCCACTTCGCTTTGTGGTGTGTCCTGAATAAACGTATTCATCACTACGAGTTCATGTTCTGATTTATAAACCGAGCTTAAGAACACGCAGTAAATCGACACACTACAGTTATAAGACATTCTATATTGTAATATATATATCAAATGAATCTAGCATATTATCCATATATCTTCTAGACAGAGTAGCATTATCCAATAGTTCATTCAACATATTTTCGACCTTAACCAAATACACATAAGCTAATAGAGGTTTCAACGTACTAACCGTAGTAAATCCAACAACTCATTTAAAAAAACTTTATCCTTAAACTTGAAATGAACATTTTCAGTGGATAACAAAAGTAGTTCTCTCAACAGTGTTGACCGAATCAGAAAAAGTAGGAAATTGCAACATTTATGGTCACAACCAAAATTAAATACATTTTTTGAAGGTGCATTGGTAAAAAGTTGGTTTACATCAGAAGAATGCTTAGGCTTTTCTTTCGAATTATTATCATCAATAACACCAATTAGTTCCAATATACAGAAGACTTACAGAATTTATTTCGGGTACGTTGATTTTTTTAGCTAGCTATCGGGTTAGCTTATGTTTAGGTGTACCGCAAATAAATAATTTTGGTTGTAATGAATTATTATTACTTATTTACTTACTTACTCCTGTCACCACCCCAAAATGGAGCACAGACCGCCAACAAGTATTCTCCAACCTACTCTATCATCGAATTCACTCCCCAGTTCTGTCCAATTACTGTTCATTCTTCTCATATCCTTCTCCGTTATTCCGCGTAAAGTTTTTCTTGTCCTTCCTCTTTTCCTTTGACTCTGAAGGTTTCATGTTAGGGCATGTATTGTGAGGCAGTTAAATGCCTTCCTCAGTGTGTGTCCCATCCGCTTTCATTGCCTCTTCCTTATTTCCTCCTCCACTAGAAACTAATTTGTTCTTTCCCACAGCAAGTTGTTGCTGACAGTGTCTAACCAAAGAATCCGAAGTATTTTGCGAATACAAGTATTCGTAAATACTTGTATCTTCTGGATGATGGCTTTCGTAGTTCTCCAAGTGTCCTTCCCTTAGAGTAGAACTGTCTTTACATTTGTATATTGCAAATCAAGGCAATTTGAGTGATATTCACAATGAAATGAAAAAAAGATTACGTAACTAAATATAATAGGCAAAAGTTCATGAGGAAGTATATGGTTGATTTCGACCGACCGAAAGAAGCCACTATTTATCAAATTACAATTCAACGTAGATGTGGCCTGTGATACTCTGCAGGACAGATTAATGACAGCAATTAATAGAACATTCACTGCAGCCAAACTTGCGTTGACCTTCTCAAGTCCACCAGTGATATCTACCCAAACGGAGGATAAGTTACCTGAATTGGCTTCCTCTATGTGGTGCATTTACAAATTCAGTTGCTCCTGGGGAGATAGCTTCACCGGGCTTACTACCAGGCAACTTAACCAACGAATGAGTGAACATCTCCGAGCATGGTTTAAGAAGGGTCAATCAAAAATAATACACAGTTCGATCTTAGCACACCTGGTTGATAGTGGTCATATTGTAGATAAGTCTAGATCTTTTCGATTGATCTATCGTATACCTCAATCATTTCCCAACGGAGTTCGATCCCATCTCCTACGCATAGCAGAAGCAATAGGAATTCGTACGTTCAACCCCAACTTATGTGTTCAGAAGAAATTCGTGACACCCCTATCTCTTCCGTGGCCGAATATGACGTAACTAACGATTGACACTATAGATATTTATATTTTTTAATCTTATTTTATTTTTATTTTTACATATTTGCTTATTACGCAATGGTTTAATTTTTTTTAATGTTTATTTGATGTCTATTCATCCACCTTTGACCTACTATTGATAGAAACTTTAGTTATCATATTTTATAATTTTCTTACTACTCTCAGTACACCTGTCTTCCTACTATCCGCTTGAACTTTTGCCTATTATATGTAGTTACGTAATCTATTTCATTTCATTGTGATTATTGAGTCATAAATTACCTTAATTGGTTTACCTTGATGTTTGTTGACCTTTTTTGTTTTGAGTTACAGGTGTTTTTCCATTTTGGAGAAATGCATCTTTTGCTTTGTTGATTCAATGGATTATTATGATTCATAAGATCATTTTATCCTGATCATCTTCAAGACATCGTATAGCTAAGGTGATAATGACAACTTCCTACCCTCTACTTAATATGTTACGCTTTGCTCTACCTCACATTGACAATCATCACTTTTATCTAACTAACCTTTTCTAATTACTTATTCACATAAAAAGCTTTCATAATTGATAATGTATGTTGTGACAGAGCTAATGAATCTTTTTTTTCACACACATGAAATCCATCTTCTCATTTGAACAGAGAAATGAAAAGATATATTTTGTGAGATAGTACCATTTCGTGCTTTCTCGTCAGTCACATACAAGCAACATGTTATTCGTGTAAATACAGTTTTGAAGATAAGGTCAAAATTTTTTTCTTATTTAGCATGACATTCACTCACTAGAACCATGGTAAACAAAGGTTAACATACAGTTGTTTTTGAACACATAAAGTTGGACTTTTCCAACCAATCAAGTTAGCTTCGAGTAGTTTGAGTGTGTGTGGGTTTTTAATGACATGTCACAACTGTAAAGGCTGATTTTGGGTCAGTTTGATGACCACTTATCAGTAGATGTTTTGCAATAGACGAGGCTGGGTTTCTTGATCGATCTTGAGATGACGGGCTAGGGTGGATGAATTATGGATTTGATTAGCCATTTTGAAATATGTTCTCCTATCCTGTCCTCCAATCGGCGATCTGTCCTACCCAAGTAACTTTCTCCGCAGTTACATGTGAATTGGTAAATACAATGGGATTTGGACTGAATCGATCTTGTAGACTCGATTGGGGTAACTGAGATCGATTGAGTTGTTGTGACTGATAAGCCTCAGATTAGCTGCATTTAAAGTCTTTTTTTTATTGGAGCTGAAGTCTGTTTGGTTGTAATTTTCATGCAATGATCACCCTTGAAAAGTAACAACTGTAGATACACTGGTTTCTTGGGCACATTAGTTGCTATCAGTTTCGTTGTAGTTCTGTTCTGATGAACAATAAACGTTTCGGGATATCCGTTTAATCTAAGTGTTTCAGTAATAAGCTTGAATTCGTCGTTCAATGTATCAGCAGTGCAGATTCTACGTGCTTGAGCGAATAAAGTTTTGACAACAGAACGTTTATATTCATTCTCATATCAAAATATATATACATATATATATTTATTTATTATAGATTGTAATGAACATTTGACAAGATTGAATATAGTTAGTTTCTTCTCGACTATTCGTAGACTTTGAATATATAGGCAATAAATAAATAAATAATATTCATATCAATTCCATCACATCATTTCGGTAAGAAATTATTACCAAATTTTTTTTTCTTTTTTTAAAAAATAAATGATAATCATAACAAATTTTTTAATCGTGTGTAATAACAACATGACAGTTTATAGTAAACTACATTTTTCATTTATAATACAAAGTTTATAATTAAAAAAACTAACTAGCTAACTAATCAAATTTGCATTTGACCAACATTTAAATGATACACATCATTGTTGAATTGATGAGTCTGTATTCAACCATATTATCGAGAGGTGATTCGCTTCTTTGGACAATCGTTCTGGAATAATAATAATAATACGAAAAAAATTATGCATATTACTTCTAAACACATAAAATAATATGTTGTAATGATTGATAGAATTTTTTGGGGGTTTACGTTTTTACACATTTGAAATCATCAATCAATGATTGATAGACGACGATTAGAAACCTGGAAGCACTGAAAGATGGCCGTTTCGTCCTGGTATGGAACTCATCGGTGGCAGTGCACATCAACGACTCATGCTGCACCTGGCAGGATTCGAACCCAGGACCTTCGAAATTGTGCGCGAACGCCTAACCATCGGACCACCAGGCCAGCATCCAGCGGTGTTAATGTCTAACTCTGACTGACCTAGGGATTTTTTGCGACCTCAGCAATTTGTCTTTGGTAGTTACTGCCTACACCAGACTGGGTTGAACTCCATCGGTCACGTCTTCCCAACTAGAACTCCGAGAATTTCCTCACGAAGCTAATCACTAGTGAGCACTGTTACGATATTTTGGGGCAGAGTTTTGGAGGTTTGCGTTTTCACACACATGAAATCGTCAATCAATCATTGTTAGACCGTTGAATGCCGGCCCAGTGGTCCGATGGTAAGGCTTTCGCCTACAATACCAAAGGTCCGGGGTTCGAATCCTGCGAGGAGCAGGAGTCGTGGATGAGCACTGCCAGGGATGAGTCCCATACCAGGACGAAACGGCCGTCCAGTGCTGCCAGGTTTCTAATGGTGGTCTAACAATGACTGGTTGATGATTTCATGTGATAAAATTTTGTAAAATTTATAACACATTCCATCCAAAACAACAACAACTTTCTTTTATCTTCATATACATTATTGACAGTTTTTTTCTGCAAAAAACTTGTACATAACATATACAAAACAGAGATTTTTTTGGTCAATTTAACAGATCTCAGTAGAAGTTCATTTATTTTTAAACTTGTCATATTTCGGTTGTAAGAAAAAAATCAGATATTTTTTCACCGTCAAAGTTTATATGAATAGCAAATGGAAAAGAAAAATAATCATGATCATTACTAACCTTACATAATGACTGACATGGAGGGCAATTTATAGTTGTGGAAACATCAAATTCTTCTACCCTCAGAATAACATTCAAAAATCCACCTTCAACAGGGCAATCAAAATGTCTATTGTTGAGTAATACCTGAAGGCCAGTATTTTTTGAGCATTGAAACTGATAAAAGAATAAATTTCAAAAGATGAAGAACATATAATAATCAAAAATAACCATTAGTGTAGAGCAAGTTATAATGTTTCACTTTCAGTGAAGTTGAATTCCTAGGCTTACTAACCAACTAATAATATGTGGTTCAACAAGCTTCAATTGGAAACTGTATATAACTTAATCATAGTTCATTTAGTGCAAACGCATCTTACATAGATAAAACACTTGCAACAGTAATGTAGCATATTCCTATTTATTCTCGTAAGTTCGTCAGAACGGCTGAAATAGCAGAAATCTAGAAAGTTGTAATCTTGCATCTGCAAGAAATATAATTTAATCATTTCTCTCACTATAGCCAACATCTGACCAAGATTGTTGAGTTATTTCAAAAATATTTTGAATATAAAAGGGGCAATTTTTCTAAACACTATTACATTTTTTTGCATAGAACTGCTTAGTCTTATATGAATCAATGCAAGATCTGATCTTTTATCTGCGTTTAACTACCGCGAACTAAATTTGCAATGCAACGTCAAGAAAAGGAAAAATGGAGCGGTATATAAGAAAAGCCCTCCTTTTGACAGCCAAATCAACCAAATATATAAGTACATGAAAAGTTCGCACATTGTGGGAGACTGGGCAAGTAGGTATTTTTAGCGTGTTTTATCCAATGTTCTTTTACTTTTAGGCCTTAGATTTTAGTCTGTTTTCTACTATAGGAGAGCGTATTATCAACTGATCTTACGATTATCTCACCCGATATGGTTATGAGCAAATGTTAAAACAAGAACATCTGAACATCAAAAATATCAAAACTGAAAATGCTTAGCTGACAAAAATCACAGTCTAAGCTTTAACTTTCCTAACGTTTCAATTGTTTAACCTTAAAATTTATAGCATAAAATTTTTTTGCAATTTCAGAAGACTAAATCGTATTCAGTTTGACATTTTGTTCCATAATACAGACAGATAATTGAATCTGACTGAATCTCATAACTCGTTTCACAAAAACTATCATCCGTTTTCAAAGTGGACTTACTATGAAAACTTCAGATGTACCAAAAATAACTGTAAATAAACTGCACCTGTTAGTTCTACAGGACAGACAGGAAATAATTTTATGTAATCCAAATGTTGGCGCATTTGTGGTGGCCATTTTCTACGTCTTCTTAGTCTTCGTAATTAGCTCGTCCAGACAATGGTTGCTATATAGTGTCTGGCGGTTTATGAATCAGAAGCTAAACTCCAAGTGTTGAATACGTTTATTCTGGCACACCACAAATAGGGATAGCAGACTACAAACAGACCGGGCAGGCACGCTAACGAGCGAATGTGCGAGTGTCTTAACAAGATTAAAATGTTCGTTTATATACAAGGGAAAATGTCTGAGTCATCGTGATATTTAAGAGATCAATATTAAAGCGAATAGGTTGCGTATGCGCGTTGGCGTTAAGCAATGCTCAGTCATACCAGCTCATACAAACCACTCCATAATAAAAGCCAATGGTACATATAAGTTATTGTTTTACAAATGGCTTAGTTAAATAAATTAATCGAAAGGGCTTAACCAAATTAAATGTAAGCAAACTCGAATATACGTGGAGGCACTACACATTGACTCATCTAATAACCTGGTAGTTTCATTATTTTTATCAACTAATTCAATATGTTCATGTGCGGCATCCTGGTCCATCAGTTTTTTTGTCTCATTGGCTGTATTCTGACTAAGTTATGATAGTCTTACGTGATCTAACAATAATTTGGGCACTTGATACTACAAAAGGGACGACATCAAAGATTCATTTAGTAAAAATCTATCACCTTGAGATTTTTAATCTTCATCTTTCATGCATATAAGTAACCTACAACAAAGTGAACTGTTTAAACAATTTACAGATTTCTCTCATATTCAGTGAATTTCCATTGCTTTCCATTTTAAATCTTGTCTGTTTATTATTATTAGCTTTTCTCTTCAGCAAAGCACTGAAAATTTAATTGTGGTTTTGTACCAGTTATACAGTTAATCCTCAGCGACCGATGTGGAATGTTATCAGCTGACATCCGACTAAAATAAAACGTAGAAACGGGTTTTACTAACAGGTCTTTTTTGATAGATTGGGTGATTTTACAGAAGATATGCTTTCATATATCGTTACTGAATATTCATAAGAACAAATTACTTCGTACTAAGCATACTACTTTGACTAATTATGAATCATTATGAAAAAATTCAAAAAAACCAATAGAACTTACTTTATGACATGATGTATTTCGATTGTATAAGTTAGGTTTCAATCCATCAAAATGCATCAGCATACTATGATCAAAGCAGGCTGAATCGGAGCCAAAATGTTCTAGGTATGGATTTGATTTCAAATCTGTAGCAAAGCATTAGACATACTCAGTCGGTTATGAATATGGAATGTTATGACGACAAAAATAATTATTACATCCTGTGATCGATAAGTATAAAGAGAATTGTTTATCATGTTCTATTGTTTACTTTCTACTGGTCAATTTTATGATCGTCCCAGATACCAATGTTACGTACTCCAATGTTGTTTCCTATTTGTCATGCTGAATGTCAATGTCACTTCAAATGTTGTTTCTTATTCGTCGTCTTAACTAGCAATGTGACAGATTTCGATGCTTATTCAACCTAAATGTGTAAATACCCTAGTCTGGGACCCTGGTTCTCCTCTGAACTCAGACCTTGTACTTTCTGGAAGTTTGTAGAATACAGGTTCTATCTCATATCAAGTCTTCTTGTTTTATTCAATTTGGGTTGGGACACTAGGATTTGAGTAGCATATCGTGTAGCCGAATATTCGATCCTCGCTTTTGTATTCCGACTAAGGTAATCTCGCTATAGTTCAAGCCCATCAAAAAGACGTGTTTACGTGCAAGCGTAACAGCTTTGAATCAGTACTTATGGTTGAGTTTATTGGATGGTAGGTTAAAATGCTTTTGTTCCTTATTCAGTTTAGCAGTAAAATGTCTTCAAGTAGAAGACATTCTGAACAAGACCAGGCACTACTATAGACTACTATCCACATAAATGATTTGACGAAATATTTTTAACTGAATCAATGATATGTTATACTGAATAATAAAGCTACCATTTAACCACTCATTAATTCTCTCTCCGTTACTTGCTTACTTCGAATTGGCGGTCTATACTAACCGAAGTGTAACAGGAGTAATTCAGCAAGTAGGTAAATATTTATTCAATCAGGTTAGTATATCTTTATGTTGTTTCTTTAGCTGTTAATTCCTTTTGACGCTGAATGATGACGGTTAAACGTTGGGAGTTTTTAAATTGACAGTCTTGAATGAGGAACGTAAAGTCTAACTATATCAAATCTGGCCTCTTTCATGTAAATTTCTAAGCAATATCATGAATTGTATAATATCTAACGAATGATTTCGTTTCAAGAACTATCTCTGTGTGACCTCACCTGTCCCATATAATAAACATGTTACAATCAAGTTACATTTTTATATATTATCTGACTAGATTTGTCCACTTGACTGACATGGATAAACATTTCTCATTATTATGGAGTATCGTAGAAAATATTCACTTTTAAATGAGTAAGTTGCCTTAATCAGAACACAGTACACCTCAATCAACGCTTTTTACCACAGAATAAAGAATATAGTCATCACCTGTTGAAAACAACACACATATTTAGGCACATTTTAATAAAAAAAGCGTTATATCACAGAACCTGATGTAACATGTCTTGCGTATTTGCAAATAGATGTCGTATCATCTTGATGCCTATAAATCTGAAATTAAAACAAATTATGAATTATCCACACTAATTTATTTACAATATCAAAAATTATTTTAATCTTAATTCAGATAATTAAATATAAAGTTATCAATGTGTAGTCATTCACAAATATTCATTCAAACAAAGATTATGTAAAGCGAAATATAATCATTCAAACACTTCTACTCTTGATAAAGTTTATATTATTTATTAATTTTATGTGAGCAGATACATACTTTACTGCTCCTAAAATCTTTCTGAAGTTACTGCCGATCCTAGAACACGATACGGCCAGAGGATAAGACTGCTGACTTTAAACCCCAAACCATAAATTGTCTACTGATTAAAAATAATTCGAACCATTTAAACTCTCTCTCAGAGTTAAAAATTCTGCATCTGGAAGCGTTATCATGCCTCATAATGAAGGACGAATGACTTTGGAAGTAAGGAGGTCGATGCCCCTTTTGACAGCTTGAGCAACCATAATGTTTGTACAATGTAAATGAACGGGTGAGTCATAAAAGCGGCTGAGAAAATAAAAATGTATGTTTTGGTGATACATGGAATTAGTGAAATTTATTGGAAAACAAAGATTATCCTCGAGAGAGTTGCTGTTAAAATCCGTCTATGAAGCAGAAAATGCCTCTCATACACAAGGAGTGCTACTGACACTGTCCAAAGAAGCACACAAAGCACCAATAAGATTGAAATCTAGTGGGACTAGGATTATAAAATGCCCTTGGTAAAGAAAGGGGTGGACTAAAATGAATATCGTCATATCTTGTGCCGACTTTCACACTGTACATTGCAGTGTGTTAAACATTTTCTTAAATTTTTTGACAAACAATTTCAGCCATATCTATGTGAAGACAATGTATCTTACGAAATATTTGCTTTACTGAACAACCTTTTACAGAATATATGTTAACAATTTTAACATTTTATCACACCTGTAAATTGGCATGCCTCTTGCAAAAAGATATTGTTTATTTAAGAATAAATTATTATCAATACTTATATTTTGATTTCTGTCACATCAGATTTATTCGCAACTACATTCAAACCAACTAAGTTAATACACTGATGTTTTAAAAATAAATTAGATTAGGTGTCAGTGTCTAAATTTGTTAGGATATTCATCCAATATCCTAAGAGAATTATTGGTCAAATCCTACTGGTTGATTTCTATTGGTCAAAATTATGGTCGTTTTAACTGTGAAGGTCAAATGCTTCAATGTCGTCTCCTATTGGTCATCCGAACTGTCAATGCTACAGAATTCGATGCTGTTACCTATTCGACCAAAATGTATAAATACGCATTATCTGTAACATTTTATGACCACGACCAGGACTAGGGCTCGGTCCTGGATCCCTTGTCCGAGATCCTGATTCTCTTCTGGATTCGGACCTCGTACTTTCTGGATGCTTGTAGAATACAGGTTCTACTTCATATCATGTCTTCTTATTTTTATTCAATATGCGGGTTGGGATAATCGGATTTGAGTAGTATATCGTGTCACCGGATACTCGATCCTCGATCTCGTTTTCCGACTAGGTAAACTTATAATAGTTCAAGTATATCAAGTTGACGTGTTTACATGCAGGCGTAACAAAAACAACAAAAAATGAATGGCTAATAAGAAATCAATTTCAAATCTTTTGGCTGTTCTATTTTACGTATTTAGGCATGATCACATAATGCTGACTATACATTTTCATAGAAAAAGAATTCTTAAGCGAATAAAAATAAATAAAATTAAATCAATTGTCATCATAATTAATTGCACTAAGTATAATAATTTATGCTAAACTATGCCAATGTACCGTTAATACTGGACAATAATCAAATATATAAGAACCAGCAAATTTTTTCCTATCCTCATAGGGAACATTAAACATGGAATCCATATACTGATAGTAGGGTTCCGTTTTGTTTGCAAATAGATGCAGTCCACAAAATCCATATGCATTTTCATACATTAAACATTTATATTCATAAGGAGTATCACAAAACGGTCGGATATCTTGTTTACTAATAAACAAACAAAAAAACATAAACAAAGAACTATTTATAAATTAAAAAAAAACAAATAAACATTTGTCAAACAACATTAAAACTAATCAGTTCTATAACAATCGGTAAATAATTTGTCCATTTGATAAATTTCCACTGCTGTTATGTTCATTTCTAGGTATGCATAAAGCTATTACGGGTTCACCTTAGTTGATAAACCTGAACGAGACAATGAACCGGCGTCCAGATAGGCTACGTTGATACAAAACCGGCAAAACAGAAGTCTTGATAAGCGTAGAAAGCACAATTCAATCGAGCGCACAACTCTAGTTTATTCATCCATCGTAGAAACATACTTGAGACAGTCACAAAAATAGCACACCACAATACAGAGCAGTCAATCATAGCCAAGGATTTTGCTGGTGGGAAACGATATCTCAAGGTCAACTGATCGGACAATAAATTTATATCCAAAACAAGACATTAATCAAGCGAGTTCTGGCGATCCAACATCCCAAACAACTAGTGAGTAGAAATGAAGGAATATTTTATTTAATACACCATTTGATATTAGGCCAGTTTGATAATAACTCCGCCAGTCGAAACTTCGAGGTCATCGACTAGATAATGAAGACGTCGACATCTGCAAAGAAGCATGGTATCAACTGCATAGTTAGGACGCAGCTAGACGATCTGGACTTCGCAGATGATCTGGCTCTTCTATCTCACACACTACAACAAATGCAAGAGAAGACGACCAATGTAGCAGTAGCCTCTGCAGCAGTAGGTCTCAACATACACAAAGGAAAAAGCAAAATTCTCGGATGCAACACAACATGCACCAACCAAATCACTCTTGATGCAGATGCTTTGGAAGACGTTAACACCTTTACATATCTGGGCAGCATCAAAGACAACGAAGGTGGATCGGATGCAGATGTGAGGGCACGGATTGGCAAAGCAAGGGCTGCATTTCCATAATTGAAAAATATCTGGAACTCCAAACAACTTGCAACCAAAACCAAAATAAGGATTTTCAATACAAATGTGAAGA